ACTCAATCTGTATGCTGAGCAAATAATTCGAGAAACTGGATTATATGAAGAAGAATTGGAGGCATCAGAATTGGAGGAAGACTCATTAACAACCTGCAATATGCAGACAACACAATTTTGCTTGCTGAAAGTGAAGATGACTTGGAAGCACTTATTGATGAAGATTAAACACTACAGTCTGCAGTATGGATTACATCTCAACATAAAGAAAATGACAATCTTCACGACTGGACCAATAAACAACATCATGATAAATGGAGAAAAGATTGAAGTTGTCAAAGATTTCCTATTACTTGGTTCTACAATCAACACCAATGGAAGCAGCAGCCAGGACATCAGATGATGTACTGCACTGGGCAAATCTTCTACAAAAGACCTCTTTAAAGTGCTGAAGAGCAAAGATGTCTCTCTGAAGACTATGATGTACCTAACCGAAGCCATGGTATTTTCAATAGCTTCATATGCATGTGAGAGCTGGAAAATGAATAAAGAAGACTGAAGAAGAGTTTATATTTTTGGGTTGTGGTGTTGGTGAAGAATATCGAAAGTACGATGGACGGCCAAGAGAACTAACAAATCTGTCCCAGAATAAGTACAGCTGGAATGTTCCTTGGAAGCGAGAATGGCCAGACTTCATTTGACCTACTTTGGTCATGTTGTCAGAAAGGACTATTCCCTGGAGAAGGGTATCATCCTTGGTAAAGTGGAGGGTCAATGAAAGAGGGGAAGGCTCTCAGCAAGATGGATTGACACAGTGGGTCAATGTATAGCCAGTATTGTGAGGCTGGCACAGGACCAGGTGGTGTTTTGTTCTGTTGTACACGGGGTCACTATGAGTCAGAGCCGACTCCATGGCACCTAACAACAAGAACAACAACAGTTCTTTGTTGTGGGTTGCTGTCCTGTCCATTGTAGGATGTTTAAGAGCATGCCTGGTCTTTACCTGGTAATGTCAGTGTATTTCCCTCCTCATTGTGATAACCAAAAATGTCTCCACACGTTGCCAAATGCCCTTTGGGGAGAAAAATCACCCCTGGTTAGAAACATTAATGATAACGGGAGAGGACAGATGGTAGTTGGGAGTGGAGGTGGGAGAAAGTCAATGGATAATGTTTGTCTGAATGATGAAAATGGCAGTTGGGATGGGAAACATGAATGGATTTGAGAGGCATTAACAAGAAGAATGGAGAAGTCGTTGGTGGTACAGTTTGCACTCAATTACTAACCTAAGGGTTGGTGGTTCACACTGACCCAGAAGTGCTGTGGAAGGAAGGCCTGGATATCTGCTTCTGTAAAGATTACAGCCATGAGTAACACATGGGGTCACCATGAGTCTGAACAGACATGACAGCAATGTAATTTATTTATTTATTTATTTCCTTTCTGTGACCGGTAGGTTGTGGAGGCTACGGGAGAAGGAGGAGACAGCAACACCTCTGCTTTGAGCAACTGGAACGATTATGGTGTTTTTACTGAAAGCAAAAATAAAGGAGGAACAGATACACAGAGAAGACGAGTTCAGTTTCATACATATTGGGTTTGAGTGAAGACATAGAGGTAGAAGCCTTCCTTTGAAAGTGGGTTCAGAGGCCAGGAGTATTGGAGTGAAGTCAGCACAGAAATGTCGATTTGGGACGCAGCAGTTTAGAGCTGACATCAGAGCACACCACATTCTCTTTTTTAAGGAAAGATTATACCCCTGATGAAGAAATGCAACCCAATAATTTTCTTAAAAACTGTCAAACATTTCACCAAGTTTGAATAGAGAGAAAAGCTAAAAATAAAACAAAACAAAGAACATGTATCCAAAGCACCTTACTAGGGCTTTTTTTTTTTTTTTTTTTTAGTAGAGGAGGAGAGCTGACAGAAGAGAAAAAGTAATGTGACTTACAGGTAGGGAAGAGTATAGGGAGGAGATTGTTCATTCATTCAGTGTTATAAAGTGCTCGCTGAAAGTTATAGGGGATATAAAAGTGAAGGCATCTCAAGAAGTATCCACCTTGTCTTTAGTGCCTAAGGTGTGCCACAACAGCATACTATCGGATTTTCACATATAATGTGCCATATAAATTAACACGTTGTTGTTGTTGTTGTTATGTGCCGTCGAGTCGGCCCCGACTCATAGCGACCCCTCCTTGGGTTTCCCAGGCAGTATCACTATGGAAGTAGGATTGCCCAACCTTCCTTCCAAGGAGTGGCTGGTGGGTTTGAACCGCCAGCCGTCTGGTTAGCAGGCAAGTGTCTTAGCCACTATGCTACCAGAGCTCCTGATATTAGAATGCTTAATTACTATTGCTTTGTAATTTTTTGACATATGGAATAGTTAAACATATTTTGCAACACAAACATGATATTCTTTCTTGATTAAATGGAGTTAAGCATAGATCATGTCCCAGGCATCTTTGGTACTACCAATAGTACTATAAGATACCAAAGGATGTAATCTTGCAATTTATTTTCATGATGCCTTCCCTCACTAAACCAAAAACAAAGGATAGAAAAGAGAAAAAAACAACCCACTGCCATTGAGTTTAGACTCATAGTAACGCTATAGGAAACAGTGAAACTGCCTCATAGGGTTTCTAAAGCTATAAATCTTTATGGTAATGGACAGCCTTCACCTTTTTCTTTTAGAGGGGCTGCTGGGTTCGAACCAATGAACTTTTGGTTAGCATCTGTATGCCTTAACCACTGCACCACCAGCTTCTCCTCCCTCACAAGCCTCTCCCCATGAACTACATAGTGTTGATTGTTATAAAGAATTTGGGATCTAAATTTGTGGGTTCAAGTATTGCCTCTGCTTCTGTGCTACCTTTGACAAATCTCAGCCTCTCTGAGTCTGGAGTTTATTCGTTAATGAAACTGAGTTGATAGTACCAATCTACATTTGATATAAAGGAGCTCTGGTGGCACAGTAGCCTAAGCACTCAGTTGCTAACTGAAAGGACAAGTTGGCGGTGTGAACCGCTTGGTGGGAGAAAGATGTGGCAGAGCTTTGTAAACTGTATCCTGCTACACAACTGTCACCTATTGTTTCACATTCAAAGGATGTGAAAAATCAATTAATTCTCTCTTTTTTTTTTTTCCTCTACTTTCCTCTCTTATTTGATCTTCTGAACTTCTAGAATATATCACAGAAGGAAAATAGTAAGGAAACAAATAGTTCAGAATCTAAAATGTTGTTCTAAAAAAAGAGCCAAAATCAAAATAAAAAATATATCAATATGTAAGGAAGCAGGAAATTCTACTAGCTACTGGCAAATTATGCCCTCTAAGAAGCCTAGATTCTAGAAGAAAGAAGAAAGCAGTCTGTGAAAGAGGCTTTTCAAGTAGCCTGGAATCCTCAGAGCCTGGGATATTATCCTGACAAAATTTTTAAAGTTGATTTCTCCAAACAGTTTAATCAAAAGAAAACTGGCAACCTGCCCTTATGTTATCTATTTTAAGAACATAGTTTGAAAAAAAGCTAGTAAAGCATAATGCTTTTACATCAAAGATTTATAGGATTTTTTTCCTTTTAAATAAATTTGGTTGAGGGAGGTTTAAAATTTAAAATGCAAAGGAACACTAAACATTTGCTTTCTGTAATTACATTACATCATATAATACGTAGTAGTTTTTCCTCTTTTTGGTTTACTTTAAAAATATTAACATGTTAGACAGCTATTCCGTATTATCAAACTAGTTAACAATGAATTTCTAATTTAAGTATTTGTAGCACTTATTAACACCACTATACTAGTGACGAGTATAAAATGCTTTTTAAATATAAGTAATTTTATAAGTAATTACAATAACGACAAGATTTACAATGATTAAAATGGTTTATGTTAATATTGAGTCCAGAATGTTAAGGAAACTCCACAGCAGTAAACTGTTGCAAACTTATATAATGAAAGCAAAGACAAAGTTTGCCTTGAAGGGTTTTCTTGGGAAAGTTGTGGTTTATAGCTTAACATATGATTTTATGTGTTTGTGCTAAGAGTGTTTCTTTTTTTTTTCCTTTTTTTAGGCGGCAATAATAGTTACATGTTTAATATTGATGAGTTTGACCTCCTGGGAGCTATAGTATTTGCATACTTTTTGAATACAAATGCTGTTTGATTTATATGGAAAACACATGGCGTGTTGGAGATAGCATTTTAATCAGCTCTAATCTAGTATTTTCTACTTCCCTCCGCCTTTTTCTGTCAAAAGTTTGAAAAACAAACTTTGAAAATGCAAGGTTTGCGAAAAGCACATAAACAGTACTATGTATAGTAACCTCTCCCAAATCATATGCTCTAGCACATTAACAGTGTTCAAGGATGTGATCAATTATTAAAGAACAGAACAATCCATTCATCCAACAAATATTTCTTAAGAGCCATGCTTTTGCAGGCAGATTCGTGTATGTGTCCGTGATATTATGATACCTATAAACTGGAATTTGGCTTCAGTTTCTCTTGGTTTTAAATTTTCTTCTCTTTTGTTGAACTTTTCTCGTGGCAGGTCCGGGATATTAGAAGTTGTGTGCATCTTCCAGCAGACAAGACCTACGGGCAGGGACAATGCATTCGATTCACACAGTGGAGATTAATGTCCCCAAGATAGAGGAAACGTTTTTCTCGCCTCGGTTTCCCGAGGAGCCAGGAGGAGTCGGAGGGGGCGGTGGCGCCCAGCAGGCAGCGAGGCCGGGGCCGCCCCTGCGTCGGGCGCAGCCATTGGCGGGAGCGGTCCGCGGCGCCAGAAGCTGTACTGAGCATGTACGCGCCACGCCGGCCCCGGGCGGCAGCCGCAGCCGCAGTAGTACAGGCAGTCGCGGGAGCCGCCGCGCATTATGCGAAGCGGCAGCCGCGGCACAGGCGAAAGGGGCCAGCTGGGCGCGATTTGGCCTCCTGTCCCTGCGGCTCGCACTACGTCCTGACTTGCCTAGGAGCCTCCCCCATCCCGGCCGCGAGGCTGAGGAGGGTCAGCATGGCCTGACTGCTGGAGGCGCGGAGCAGCAGTGGGCTTGCAATATGGGGAACCAGGATGGGAAGCTGAAGAGGAGCGCAGGTGATGCCTTGAACGAAGGCGGCGGTGGTGCCGAGGATGTTGTTGGGCCCAGGGATGTGGAGGCTACAAAGAAAGTGAGTGGGGGCAAGAAGGCGTTGGGCAAACATGGCAAGGGGGGAGGGGGCGGCAGCGGAGAGCCAGGCAAGAAGAAGAGCAAGTCGGACTCTAGAGCCTCGGTGTTTTCCAACCTGCGGATCAGGAAGAACTTGTCCAAGGGGAAAGGCGCCAGTGGCTCCCGCGAGGATGTGCTGGACTCCCAGGCCTTGCAGACTGGGGAGCTGGACAGCGCTCACTCGGTGGTCACCAAGACCCCAGACCTCAGCCTGTCGGCTGACGAAACGGGCCTGTCGGATACCGAGTGCGCGGACCCTTTTGAGGTGACTGGTCCAGGTGGTCCTGGGCCGGCTGAGGCTGAGGTTGGTTTCCGTGCGGTTGTTGAGGATTTGGAAGCTGCAGCAGGGGCGCAAGATGGACAAAGGACCAGTTCGGGCTCAGACACGGACATCTATAGCTTTCACTCGGCTACGGAGCAAGAGGATTTGCTCTCAGACATCCAGCAGGCAATCCGTTTGCAGCAGCAGCAGCAGCAGCAGCAGCAGCAGCAGCAGCAGCAGCAGCAGCAGCAGCAGCAGCAGCAGCTCTTCCAGTGCTCGGAGGAGCCTGCAGCGCCCCCCACCGTCGTCCCACCTCAGCCCGGGGCCTTCCTGGGCCTGGATCGATTCCTGCTGGGGCCGAGCAGCGGGGCTGCGGAGACCCCGGGCAGTCCAGACACTGAGCAGGCTTTATCCGCGCTCTCGGACCTGCCGCAAAGCCTGGCTTCGGAGCCCCAGGTGTCCGAGCATCCGCTGCCCCCGAGCGACTGCCTCGATTTGGAGGCCCTCTCCAGCCCAGCAGCCCAACCGGCCGCGGCAGACTCGCCTTCGTCCACAGCTTTCCCGTTTCCCGAGACCGGGCCGGGGGAGGGCGCAACAAAAGCCCCCTTGCTAGGGGCAGAGGACACAGATGAGGAAAGGGAGGAGGATGCCTTTGAGGATGCCCCTCGAGGCTCTCCAGGGGAGGACTGGGGCCAGGGGCTCAGAGAGACCCCGCAGAGGCCGGGAGAAGAACCTGAGGAGAGGGTGGCAAAGCCCGGGGCGCCCACGGCTGCCTCCCTCCCTGCCAGCCCTGCGCCGAGCCCGCGCTGCTTCAAGCCCTATCCGCTTATCACACCTTGCTACATCAAGACCACCACCCGTCAGCTTAGCTCCCCCAATCATTCCCCGTCGCAGTCCCCCAGCCAAAGCCCCAGGATTCAGAGACGCCTGGAATCCTCCCTGAGCCGAGAGCCTAAATCCTCTCTCGCTTCCGCGGTCGCCCCCGCCAAGAAGCACCGGGCCGACAGCGGCCTCGCGAGCGGCCTGAGCCGCTCCGCGGACTGGACAGAGGAGTTGGGTGCCCGCGAGCCCAGTGTGGGAGGCTCTGCGGATGGCGTCAGCCGGGTGCCTCCAGCGCTGACGGGCAAGTCATCTGGGGCGCAGGCTGCTGCGGATGGCTTCCAGAACGTTTTCACAGGTGAGCGCGCCCTGCCGCCTTGGCCTCTAGGTAGCTGGTCGCCTGCCAATCAGCATCTCTCCCCTGCCACCAGCCTTCCCTGGGCTCTGAAAAACTTGTAGCTTGTTTTTTCATCATAGAGACTCCTTATCTGCTCAATGAATTGCCTTGGTTTTATATATTCTTGTTGCTTTTATATATTCTTAAAAGGTAGGGAACACATTAGTCGTTCCTGTCCAGAGTCTTTAGCAAGGGATGCTGTCTGCTCATTTTACTAAATGCTCTGTTTCTCCAGAGTATCTGCTGTTCTTTATGTCCAGGGCCATCCCAAGCATATAGACTTTTTTCCATGTTACATAAGCCATCATTCTTTCTCCTCCCTTATCCCTACAGCCTGAAAAAGAACAAAATTGTTCATGTTTTTTTCATGAGGGTCAGTGTTGGAGAAACAAATAATTTACTCAAGTACTGTCCAAAGGTGATCTCTGACCACTCTAATAGATGTATCTATATGTGTGTATATTTGTAATATGTAGTTTCTATTTCACTGCAGTCTGAATATGACTACTTAGTGAGTTACACGTTCACTCTTATTGGGGCTGTAAGCAAATGTGATTCATGCTACTAGAAAGTTAATAAATAATAAAATGGAATATTAGGGATACTTTTAATTTGGTTTCATTGTCCACTTAGGGTTTTGTTTGGAGATAGTGACCAAACCCAAAAATACTAAACCCACTGGAACCAAGTCAATTTTGAGTCATACTGACTGACCCTATAAACCAAAAAACCAAACTCACTGCTGCCGAGTTGGATCCGACTCATAGCTTTGGAGGCTGTATCACTGCAGAAATACATTTCCCAATCTTCCTTCCAAGGAGTGGCTGGTAGGTTTGAACCACCAGCCTCATGGTTAGCAGTCAAATGCCTTAGGCACAGAGCAAAACCATCCCATAGCATCCTCAAGGCTGTAAATCTTTAGGGAAGCAGACACTCATCTTTCTCTCACTGCTGGTGGGTTCAGACCGCCAACCTTTTGGTTTGTGGCCAGTGCTTTAACCACTGCACCACAGAGCTTCTTTGGTGATAGTGAAGGTGAGATCATAAGGTCATGTGATACAACTGGTCCTTTTCCTTAGCATTTGTTACAGATTCTCACACAGGTCAGCAGAAAGCACAACTAAAGGGTCAGTTTATTGTGATGAATGTCAGTTGCCCACTTCATCCACATGATTCTGATTTCTGGTAGCGTAGTGCCTAAGGCATTTGACTACTAACCACAAGGCTGGCGGTTCAAACCTACCAGCCACTCCTTGGAAGGAAGGTTGGACAATCTACTTCTGTAGTGATACTGCCTTGGAAACCCAAGGAGGGGTCGCTGTGGGTCAGATGCAACTCCACTGCAGTGAGGTTTTTTTTTTTTTTTTTGGTTATAGGACAGAATAGAGCTGCCCCATAGGGTTTCTAAGGCTTTAAGTCTTTACAGAAGTAAACTGCCTCATTTTTCATCAGCTGCTGGTGGATCCAGAACTGACAATGTTTTGGTTAACAGCTGAATGCTTTAACTACTACATTACCAGAACTCCTGAATATCATGTAGTATGATGAATGTATCCTTTCTTATAGGCTTTTAGGTCCCAAGGCCTTACCTTAAGAGTTCTCTGGTAAAGTGGCAGTTTGTTTCATGTTTGCTTAAAATTCTGTCCTTAGTTATTGAATAAGACATTTGATATAAGAATGTAATGAGTAGGAAAAAAATGGAAATTTGTGTAAGAACTGAATCTGGTGCATGGTAGGCTTGTGATAATGTTTGAATGATTAAAAATTTAAAATACATTTTGAAAGTCTTATGTTCTATTTGATAGTTTCTTATATAAAGCTATTTAGACAAAGTTTTTCAATGAAGATAGCTACTTATTAGTTGGCTAAATGAGTCGGGTCTGGCTTGATGGCACATAACAACAACAAATATCGTTAATGTTGTAATAGCTACTTTTATTGACCTCATTTTTGTTTTCACCTGTTGGCTATCTTAATTTACCTTATAGAATCTTGAATTTAAGAGTGTTGTTGCTGCGGTTAAGTTGATCCCCGAGTCATGAGCACATCGGAACCAAATTGTTCATAGTCCTGCACCAGCCCCATGATTGGTTGCTGATTGGACCGTTGTGATCCATAGCTTTTCATGGGCTAGTTTTTGGAAGTAGATCTCCGGGCCTTTTTTCCTATTCTGTTTTAGTCTGGAAGCTCCATAGAAACCTTCAACATCACAGCAACATGCAAGCCTCCACTGATGGATGGCAACTGTGAATGAGGTGCATTGGCCAAGAATCAAACCCAGGTCTCTTTAAGGGAAGGTGAGAATTCTAACACTGAATCACTACTACTTCCATAGTTAAGAGTAGCTGCTTCTATTCATTTGCCATGCTTTCTTTTTTATTCCCACTCCTTTTCTATCCTTAGCTTCTTTATTGCATAGGTTAAGTTAGAAAAAAAATTAGATACATTGCAAAGAAATTAAAGACTGTTTTTTGACAGAAGAAGATTACAAAATTCTTGAGGTAATTTTTGTGATTTTAATGTTGGTGAGAAATCATGTATTTTTCCATTAGGTAAACAATCATTTACCTAATTTAATTTCTTAGAAAAGAAATGGAAAAAACTCACCATAATTAAGACTATCATTCATTTATATTAAATATTGATTTTCCCTGTAGCATAAGATTTTGGAAGTTTATTTATTTAATTTAACAAATCTATCTATCTATCTATGTATCTATAAGTATCTGTCTCTCTCTCTATAAGGAGCCTTGGTGGTGCAGTAAGGAGCTCTGGTGGCATAGTGGTTAAAGCATTTTGCTGCTAAACAAAAGGTTGGAAGTTAGAACCCACCAGCGGGGGCTCTGTGACAGAAAGATGAGGCAGCCTGCTTCCATAAAGATTTACAGCCTTGGAAACCCTATGGGACAGTTTGACTCTGTCTAATAAGGCTGCTATGAGTTGAAATTGACTTGACCAAGGGATTTTATCTATAATTTATGTAAATGTGGCAGCCATGTTGTGCCACCCTATATGCTAGATACTGAGTTCATTAAATCATAGTTCTGTCTTTTAAAGGCTCACTGACTAAAGAGGGAGACATGAGATAAATACTACAGTGCACCAGAATATATACAAATACACAGTAAAGAGTAATGGGAGTGTCAGGGATCCAGTGACCTATGTCTCTGGCAGAAGGGAGTGAAGAGTGCTTGATAGAGGGAGATTGTACAGAGTCCTGAAAGAACATCAACACTTAATGTTTGAAGGTCCCCCCCACCCAGTGTATTTCTGGAAATTGCATTTTGTTTTAATTTGCTAAGTATTTCCCAAACTCGAAATTTGGGACTCTTAAGAGTCTTGTTCAGGAGGCACCTGGATTTTGTTGGCTTCTCTAAGCAGACATTTTTACTGTGAAGAATCAAAGTGCAGAGTTAGTTTCTTTAAATATGGTCATGACTTCCCCTTTGTATTTGATGGTCGGATATGGCTATAGCAGCTTCCATATGTTTATCTCCTCTACTCAGCATTGTTTTATTAAAAAGACAAATAAACAAACATGTTGTAGGTTTAACCTAACCTTGTAACTAGGGAGAACATGGAAGTAGAGAAAGAGGTAAGATAACTTTCTCAAGGTCATACTGATTCATTCAGAGGCAGAGCCAGAAATAGAAGCTGAGTCTACTGATTCAAGTGTGAATGTCCTTGCTTATATACTCATGTCTGGTGTTCAATGCTGTGAGACAATATGTATAGTTAAAAAGTAAAGGTGTGTAAAATGTTATAGGATTTAAGATTGTCACTTATGAGATTTTCCAGTTCTGTTTTTAATAAGATTTACTACTTTAATTGTTTAACATGTGTCCTTTCTTGAGCTGGATTAAGGGTGATTGTTGACAAAAGTGAACTAGATTTCCTCTCAGAGTGCTCTTGGAAACTGTTTTTATGGCTGTAGAGTGAATCTAGATTAAGACAGAAGACCTTGCTTCTTAGCTGTTGATTGTTTGCTTGTCATCTGGCATCCCACTTGATTCTTTATTACTCTCTACTATTTTATGGATGTCTTAGAAATTATACTAGAGGCCTGGGGAACATGGAATTGTCCATAGGGACTTTTTCCCCCCATAATTTTGCATATATTTGCATCAATTAACTGCCAGCTGCCTTTAAAAGCAGGTGATCATTTTATCTATAAGCTTCCATAAACCTCTGTTATTTTTAAACCATAGAAGGAGGTTGTCAGCTCTGTAGCAAGGAACAGATGTTTTTCGCTTTTTACTGCCTTCAAAGTGTAGGGAGAAAATTAAAGTGAATAGGGATCTCAATGTCATGTGTTTGAGTCTCTTTGATAGATATAAAAACATTAAGAAATGGTGAAGACAAAAACTTTATCTTGTTTTGGCTGTTAAGAAACTAGTGATCTCTTGCACTGAGATATTTTACAGTGAATTTGTTTGAAATAAATCTTTTTCACTGTTTAGTAGAGGAAATTGCTTCTGAAATTTGAGTAGTTCCTTTACATGTTAAGTATAGCTGAAGCTTGTTAATAGAATTCTGCAGTTAATTAGAGCTTAAACATCTGAAATGCTAAAATTGTGATGCTAAATCACCTTGATCAGAATTTTTCCAAAGTCAGTTATGTGCTTATCTGTCTTTTTAAACACATGAAATAAAAATTTAATCTGTTTTAAATAGCTTCATGTCACCTTCAGGCACATCACTGTTATATCCTGTGAAAAAACTGACAATGCCTTCAAAGGCTATAGAAGTGTATAGGCTGGTGTCTCCCGTCAGCTCTGTTTCCGTTTTCATGTCTATGTAGTTTTCCTGATCGACTCTTTACCTGCTGTCAGCTATTTATTTTTAGAGCTCTCATTAGGCCCCTTGCCCTAATTCTTTCTAATTTGAATTTTCTAATCAACTTGTTATGGGTTTGTGAATCCTATAATTATGATGTTTGCTGTATTTATTGCATATCTACT